TTCTTGTCCTGGAGCACATCCCTGTCCAGGCTGCTGAGGACGCTCCTTTTTACCCCTTAATCCACGGACCCGAGAGCTCGGCGCAAAACGTTAACAACCAACTGGCGTCACTTCTATGGCCGTTTCCTCCCTGGAGACCCTGATGTTCCCATGCAAAAGTGACTTTTCCCTGTGCAGCAACCTAGAAGCACAGTGTGCTGGGAGGGGAGCCACACCTCATCGGCCTATAGTTGGAAGCAAGGCCTTGTTCAGCCACAGCGCTCTGCCCTCTTTCATTGTGAGCCTGTGGAAGTTCTTAGCAGAATGATGATGATCATGGCAGTGGTGGTGCTGATGGCCAACATTCATTGAGAGCCTATTTTTTGTGCACATAATCAGCATTCAATGAATGGCCCTACAACCTGTAAGATAAATATATAGGCTTCGTGGTTTTTTTTTTTAATCTTAATGGTATTTTTTTGGCCACGTCCCGAGGCATGCCAGATCTTAGTTCCCCAACCAGGGATCGAAACCGTGCCCCTGCAATGGAAGCACGGAGTGTTAACCACTGGACCGCCAGGGAAGTCCCTTATTTTTTTTTATAGGTTTTTAAATGTACCTCATATTCTCACACATTTCTGTGGGATACGTACTGTTATGGCCATTTTATAGACTTTGAAACCGAGCCTGAGTGATGGAGTAACTTAACCAAGGCCATACAGCCAATAAGGATGAGATCTTTGAGGCTCAAGCTAAGAGTCTCAAGTGTTAACTTCAAGCTTGCATTGATAACCCTAAAAGTACCCACGACATGACTACATATAGTCAATGCCTAATAAAAACCCTTGTAGATGATGATGCGTTTGAAAGACGACTAGCTTTTGCGAGCCTCTTCTCCTCGTGCGTTTCTTCCTTATTTCCTTCCCGCTTTCCAGTCAGCCTGCCCTCGTTCCCTCAACCTTTATATAGCCTGCCACGGGCCGGGCATCAGGCTGTGTCCTGGGCATACAAGCAGGACAAAGGCCCAGGCCAGGCCTAGCAAGGCTGAAGTCCAGGAGTAGAAGACAGACGCGAAAGCAGGTTTCCAGGAGGAGCCCTGCGTCTCACCTGCTAGTGGGACGGGAGAGGAGGGCTCTGTCGCCCCATGCCAGGTGCTCCGCACTCTCCTGGCACATGGGAGAGTGCTTCTTGTGTTCCATCCACACATGGAATCCAGGGTTCTGTTGCCTGAACTCCTATTGCCCTTAGAATTGCCCTTAGAACCACACTCGCTCAACGGTCCTGATGTGGGTTCATGTTTGCCTCCCAACAGGATCACTTTTTCAAGGGAGAAACAAGAAATCTACATTTTGAACTTAGTAGCTATATGATCTTCATTTCTCTGACTCTTCGTTTCTGTATTTTCTTTTTAAAAAGGAGGGGGGAGAAAAGAAAGAAAAGGACGGATAACCATATACCTGCCCTAATTACCTGGCAGAGATGTTATAGGATCAAATACAGTTGTAATGCACGCATAAGAGGACTAAATATTACATAAATGTGAGGGCTTTTGTATATTCTTAAGGTGGAATTTAAAGCTCTGAGTGATGCCAGCTACCTGCCTTTACCCCTCTGCCAGTGCCCACATACATGCTGCCAGGCTCCAGCCATCACTATATAGTTCCACGTTGAAGTGCCCTCAACTCTCCTGCCTCCTTGCCTTTGCTTCCACTCTTTCAACTATCTGGAA